ATAATAATAATAATAATAATAATAATAATAATAATAATAATATACAGAAGATGCTGGAAATAATATGGAACACAGGGAAACTAGAGAGTATATCTTTAGCACAATAATAGAGAAGTGTAAGGAACTGGCAGGTGAAGTAAATGTAGAATTGAAAGCACCTAGATAAACCACACAACTAAAAAAAATGCCAATTCTCACAACCAGTTCATAGAAAAATTCTACCTGCTCAGCACTGGAGAAATGAAGAGCCATCTACTGAAGAGCTGATCTTAAAGATTCTGGGTTATGCGGAAATGGATAGATTGACTCTGTCTTTGAAGGAGAAGGAAGATACATACTTCTATCAAATTTGGAATTCCTTTTATCATTGGTTAGAGAAATGGGACAATATGTAGAACTGAATATGGTTATTAATTGTAATAAGAGTAAGATGTTAACCCAGTATGTCTGATGTCTTGGGAATAATCGCTGTTTTAGTTTAGATTTGTAGAGAAAATAATTTTAAAAAATTGAAAAAGAACAAGAAAATTTTTACGTGTGGTCCATCTACATTCCTTACCTGGATTCAGTTACCACCTGAGTGTTTAGTTTGCTGAAACTACACTCATCTCAGAGGAACCACACTACTGAAAAAGGCTTTCAAGCCCATTTCAATTCCATTTGAAAACTTTGGGGATGACTCTGTTATCTGATGTGAGTCATGGGCAAAGAAAGACTCCAGTTTTGGTGTAAGACTGCTATATTTTCCTTTATGAATGGATAAGCATTGATCCCCCCACCCCCCCAAAAAAAGGTCTGGCTTATTTCAGACTTCATCACAGGTGTGTCATGTTCTGTGCAAAGGTATGAAATTCAACCTTTTAATTGGCCTAGAATCCTACAGTATTTTTCAACTGACAGACTGAAGCTACATGCCTCTTTAGTGCCTTATTCTATTATTCTTCAATGGACAATAAAGCAATTTGTTGGAAGTTAGCTCTAAAATATATAATGCCATACAATGCAGTAAATCGCCAAGAGGCAGAGCCCACTATTGTTTCTCATTGTTTCTCTTCAGCACCATGTAATGGCACATGAGGTTGAGTCATACCTCTGCCACCATTACTAGGTGGTACGGATATTCAGGCACAAATTGCCACTGAACAAGAAGGTTCCAGACAGCTACCATCAGTAAACCAACCTGCTTCCAATATTTTTTAAAATTCCTTCTTCAAGTGTGTAAGCTAATATCTGTGAGTAAAGATGTCCAACCAAGTCTTTTGGGTGATGTGATAAAGGCTTGCTGCGATTCTAGAATGGGCAGCTGAAAGTCAGGTCTAACATTTTGGCCCTTACAAGGCACCTTCCAGAAATTGCTTCAATATGACAAAGCCTCTCCATGATAAATCAAAGGGCAACCAGGACTGTATGGCACTTATTTGGAGTTTCTTAATTTGTATTGCCAGGTGGAAAATGGCTTTCAGACATTACAACTGCTAGGTGGGAGAATATTACTTTTTACAAAAGTCATTTTTCAGTGACTTGTCCATTTAGGTGATGGCTCATTGAGGAAGTCCTGGGTCCTTTGCTCACTGACCCGGGTGTTAAACATCAATGTGGCAGAGGGGGTTTTCAGTCTGGGAGCCCTGGCTTCACTCCTCTGTTGAGCCATGACTTCACTAGATGAACAGAGCTGGCAACTCAGTCTAGGGGTGCTCATGTGTAAAACAGGAATGAAACTGCCCTGTCTTCCGCACAAACTAATTGTGGCGATGGTGACAGTGTGGGTTTGTTAACATGTTGAAAGCGCTGCAAAAAAATTCTTTATTTTCAGGTCATACTTTGAAAAATTATGAGTAAAAATACCAAAACGCATACCATGTTTGCCATGGTGATGCTCCCAAAATGTGTCCCTTGATTGTAATTAATCCTTTTTTCTACCCTAATGCTTTGAAGATGCTCTGTACATGCATTAGGGCTGGCTGTATTCTGAGTCTTTGTTTTCCTTGTGGCTGTTAGGATTGCTCTCTGCAGTTTTGCAACTTGACAGCTCATTATTTCTGTGGAATTCATAGGATCAGGATAAGAAGCAGTTTTGGCAATATGTTCCTTGGAAACATCTTGACATTATTTGATTTGCAGGAGTCTAAAGTCTGAGTTCATGGCTGAGTGGAAATTCAAAGTAGTGTTCAAGTCCAGCAATGACTTATGAAAAGGACCACAGCTTTCACCATTCAATAGTTAAGAAGCGTCTTTCTCAGGAAAATCACACAAATTTTGTGCATTCACATTCCTTTTGACAACCAAGGGCTGTCCAGTGCCCAGCAATATTAGCTCGTATTTGTGCTACGGAGTGGAAATGTTGCCTCTTATATCCTCTCTTATTTCAAAGAGATATGTATGGAATAATAATAAAAAATTGCATATACATGTTTTGGGATCCATAGCGCAAGATCACACCTGAAGGGAGGTTATTGTAGCTTTTGTCCCGACCTCTTGCAGGTGTGCACAGCTGCCTGAAATATAGAGTCTTGCCTCTTTGACATCCTGGCAAGTGCCTTCTGTCAAAGTGCAGTCGGTACCTTTCCTGGACATTGACCAACTGCGAATCCACATAGATTAATTTGCATTTATTTGACAACTGTCACTTGGCAAGCTGTGAAATGAAAAGCAAAGTGCTGAAGTGGGGGTGGCTTCCCCAAAAGGGAGGGGTGAGTATATCTCCCCCTTAGTAGCACTGTGGGAATGTACGATTACAGTCATCGGTGCTGCTTTTCCCCACTCCGCTAACCCTCTAGGTTTTCAGGAAAGGGAGGACTCACTTCCTAGCCCTTTTCCACATTTATTCTTTTGGCAACTGTCAAAAGGAAGAGTTTGGAGTTTTTGATTTAAACCTATCTGAGGACTTTTCCTGGACAAGGAAATTACTCAGATTTCATGGCTATATATTTTCCTGACCCCCACAAAAATAAAAATCCAAGCCACCCAGCAGGAAGCAGTGGCTTGGATTGTCACATCATGTGGGTAGTCGCATCATGAAGACTCAAGCAATGTTTCTTCATTTCTAACATTTGAAGAGGGGTGTGTGTGTGTGTGTGGGGGGGTACCACATCACCTCCTGCATCTCACTGGCAGTAGGGGTAACAGTGTCAGCTACTGTTATTGGGCACTACCAACACATACACTAGAAGAGGGTAAGAAGCTCACAATTCCTTTGGTAATGTTCCACCCCATCTCAAAGACTGCCTTATCTTTGCAACAAATTTGCAGTGAGCTGGAGGTGTATGTCCGCGTATAGGTGCCTGCCTGTGCTGTCCAACCTGGCCCTTGAACCTCATTCTCACTCCCTGAGGAACAGTAGACATAAGAAGTAATCAGTAAAATCTATTTGTGTGTTATATGGCATCAAGTCATCTCCAGCTTATGATGCCCCTTTGAATGAACGCCTTCCAAAATGTTTGTGACAGCTCTTGTAAATTCAAGGCTGCATTTTCCCTTATGGAATCAATCCATCTCATATGGGTCTTCCTCTGCCTTTGACTTTCCATAGCAGGATTGTCTACTCAAGGGAGTAAGGCCTTCGCCTGATGTGCCCAAAGTATGGCAGCTTCAGTTTTGTCATTTCTGTTAGGCCACCACATAAAAGCCATTTTACCTCCAAATGACAATTGTACCCAATAGCAGCTGCACCACAAAGTGGTACTTATTTGATTCTCTGCTGCTGCACAGACCAAGACCACAGCTGTGAAAACAATTTCTCTGTCCAGCCAGGATATGCAAATTCATCACCTCCTTTTGCTGTAAATATAACAGATATGAATGGGACTCCTCAGGTCAATAGTTAGGAGGAAATATTTTCAGGTTCAAGGCCTCCATTCTTCCAAAATCTGAATGACAGTAATAATGCAATTCAGTCAGGTGACAGACTACAACAAAAGCAAGATTGTTCAGTCCATACATGTTTGGTTCTGCAGTTAATGCAGTGGTGATGAAGCACATAACTGAGAATAGCTCTTTCAAAGCAGTATTTATTTGCATGTTTGATTTGTGAATTGCGAAAATGCATTATGGATTGTCTTGATGATGATGACTTAAATCAGCAGTGGAAACCCAGACAATTCTCAAAGTCACATTTGAAAAGATGTCCTTAAAGAGGCTGGAGAAGCAATTTCAAAAAAGATTCCATTAGGACCCTTGACAAGCCTGGCAGTGGCAGGCAACAGTGTGCTTATAGCGATATGTTTCTAATCTTCCTCCAGGGCAGGGAATGGAAGCATTTTTGTAGATGTGATCTCTTGCCTTGCAGCAGAAGCATGTGTCTATCATTTTATGATCAACCTCGCTAAACCTGAAGAGGAAATAAAATGGGAAAAAATGTGTTGCATTTCAAGTAATGGGATCATTATTTTCAGTTAAAACTCACTGCATAAAGTTACAGCCTGGAAGAAAGAAGGCACTTTATGCTTTCAACATCCCAACTCAGTGGAAGGGGGAAACCTTAAAAGGACAGCTGCCACAATGAAAAAGACAGGCTCAAATCCTGGTTTAGCTGTATGCAGTTCATACACTCCGTGACCCTGATGCACATCCATCCTTAGAAACAGAAACAATCATTTGGTTCTGTAGGTTTCAGAAAAGCCTTATTTCCTCTGCACCTCAGCTCTGCCTATTTCTCATACTGGATTATCTGCATCCTGGATTACCTCGCATAGTTTCCAGCAATTTATTCCAGTCTTCCCCAACATGTCCTCCAGATGTTTAAGACTCCACCTCCCATCACTCCTGGCCATTAGTGGCAGTACTGGGAGCTGGCAGGAGTTAAAGCCCAAAGCAGCTGAAGCGCACCAGCTTGGGAAAGGCTGCGACAATGTACTGTCAAGATCAGTGCCGCAAAGGCAAGCTCCCAGGCTATGGGGCAATGCCATGTGGGTGGCCTGCCAGGCCGTGGGCCATGTTGGGGCAAGCATCAGTTCAGCAGAGGAGACCTACTATCCTGGACTAGCCAGCGTGAAAGAATAAGAAGGAATGGTGAATACTGAATGCTGGGATTCTTGCGGAGAAAAGAGCAGCCATAAGACATTTCCCCATAAAGAGATAAGGCAAAGGAACTGTGCAAGGAGGCAGACTATTGTCCTGAGAGAGCACCATCGGTCACCATGGGGTGAGGAAAAGAAGCACCAACACCTGGAAATTACTCCATCAATAGCAGCCAGCAAACACAGACAAAGAACTTGCCTTTTTACCCACAGAAATGAGGGTCTGAAGATCAGAAATGAGGACCCACAGGCAACAATAGTGATAAAAGAAAATAGCACCAATCCAACAATTAGCAAACGGCAGGCAAATGCAAACTGACAAAATGGCAGGAGGCGACTTGTTCATATTAAAGGGGAAAGGGGGCAAAATTTCTAGGCTTAGCTAGAAGAATCCTGCTGAACTTAGGCGCTGCGCAGCACCCATATGTGTGAGGGCACAGAGACCACGAAGAACAATGGGAACCTCTCCCTTCCCACAGAGGCAAGTCCAGAGGGGAATAGTATAAAGATCAGGAGCTTATCAGTGAAAGCAGGCAAGCTCTGAACACAGTCCTGGCAACCCAGCCTGGACATGGATTTCTTGCACAGTTCCTGCCTACACAAGGGACTGCTATAGACAGTCTACAGCACAGGACAGGTAATGGATTCTCTTTCCCTCTCTCTCTTTATCTCTTGGCTTCTCTCCATCTATCAGGCTGTTCGGATGGAAACTTTTTACCTTTTTAGAAATACAGAGTACAATTGAGATGCAGTAGGAATATCTGCTGCCTAGACAACATCATCAAAAGCATGTGCCTGCTTTATATTTTATGCTGAATAAAACTTGCTTTGCTTTCTAGGAGTTGTGCCGGTCTGCGTAAGTGAAAATGTGGAGTGTATTCTCTGTGGCAGGAAAAGATTCCAAACTTCTTGGGGCAATCTGCCAGGCAAGTGCCTCCTTTTGAGGTGCACTGCAGTTCAAGATTACCTGGTGTAATGACTCGTCTCTCTTCTCCTGCCACCCTGTTTAATGCCAAATACAGACCGTATTCTAGATATACCTTAATAAATATTAAATCAACTTACGAGATTACGTTTTTGCATTCACCAGTACACCTTGCCATCAAGATATAACCTTTACATCCTTTGGCACTGACTTCCATTTTCACAGGAACTGGACTACATTCATTTATACCTAGAAGCAACACCAAACAAAACATTAAAAATGTGAAAGAACTTCAGTAAAAAAACTAGGCTATTATTCTCCTTCTGTTAACTTTTGGGCTTTATTTTGTTTTGTAAGAGGATTTATGTCCTAACTTTCTGACTTTAAAGTGCCCAAGATAGCTAAGAGGCAAACCAAACATACAAAACAAAACATAAAGTTAAGTCAGATTGGGCTATACATAAATCCATAAAGGCAGATAAAAATATTCAGCCAGGCAGAAAAAATAATCCCTGCCAGCAAAAGACAAACCTTAATATATAGAGGTGGTAAAAACCTCTATATATGTGATGGAAGAAAGAAATATCTGCCAGCCAGGAAATTCCATCATTTGGGTGGAAACCCCTTTTATGTGTTACAACCAAACACAAATCAGAGGCAGGAAGCACAAAAAGTTGCCCCAGTTAAGAACAGCTGTGCTGGATCTGACCAAGGGACTGCGTAGCCCAGCATTTTATTCCTACACTGGTCAGCCAGGCACGGATGGAAAGTCCACAAATAGAAATGTTTTAAATAAATAAATAAATAAATAAAATGGGTGCAGCTGCACTCTCCTGCCCATGCTCCACAGCAACTAGTTTTCAGTTGTCTTCAAATGGTGGGTGGGATCAAACCGAGTTATCAGTGACACCATACAAAGTGTATCCTCTCTAGAAAGATTACCTAAATGGGAAATTATCCAGAATAAATAATATTTAGAATAGAACATTCTATTTCCAAAGCTGATGGCATCTAGGCTTCAACTCCTATTAGTCTGCACTGGCATGGCTAATGAATGGTAATGTTGGGAGTGGTAGTCCAATGCAGCTGAAAGGAACCAACTTGGAAAAGGATAGAATAGATGCAATGAGAATCTACTCAGGCACCGAGGGGGGTTGCTGCTTTACCACAGGTTGTGGTGAAATGTTGAGTATTGCGTTGCCTGAACCCAGCTGAAATGACAACCCATGGTGAACAATCCACAAGTTCACAACCCAAAGTTCACACCCCAAGCACAAACCCTGGGCTCTCTTTATAGCTGGCTAGGGTTAGAGCTCTCTCTCTCTCTCTCTCTCTCAATAAAGTCAACGGTCAAGTTTAAGAAGGGGAAGAAGGGAAGGAAGCCTCGCAAACTGTAAATACTGCTTCTTAATAGATTTGTACAACCTTTTCTTTACCTTTTTCTTCCTCCTAGAAGCTCTGTTTGGTTTGAGCATGCAGAAGTCAAGACCCAGTTAAGAGAAACAAACCAAGCTCTGCCCATGACTTCAATTATCTGTACAGCAAGGTGATCTCTGGGATGAGGATATGGGATGGGGCTGTTAGATGGGGTAGAAAATTGGGCTGAGGAAAGTTCTGGAACTGTCCATCTTTAGCCCCAGCAATGCCACAGCACCACTTTGTGGTTGGTTAATAGAATATTTTGAAAGGTGGAGAGATACAAACCCCAGGGGAAAAGCCAGTGCAAAGGATGCACCTGACCATTGGTAAAGTTCCAAGAACAAGGCTGGACAAGTGCACAATAAAACTTTCTTCCAGAAGCATCCTCAACCGAATTAATTAGCTCTAGTCTCCAGACTGGACTTTCACTTTAGCCAAATTAGTAATGAATAGAAACCTAATGGTGTAAACATATTCCATATATTCTCTATATGTAAAAAGGAAAAAGTATACATACAATCATAGCAGCATTTGTTCGCGTGATATATTCTGTGTTCCTGGTTTTAACATAAAAAGGAAGAAAAGTACAAATGATCCATATACATCACGCTTGAACTAAATTGCCCTCCTGCCCAGCGTGGCTTAACTGTACCCTTCCAGCCCATCCTACAAAACATGCACCTTCCAGGGAAACTAAAAATATCCATTATTGCTTTTCATGCAATTGGGGAATGAAGTGGCAAGAGAACAGAAGGGAATGTTCTCTGGAGGATGTATTCAGAGAGACTTGGTGCTCTCCAGGGAGAATAGAGAACAGGCTACAGGATGCAGGGAGTAAAGACGGATTAATGAGTTAATGCACAATGGGTGAAATAGGGCATAACAGTACCCAGCTGTAACAGACTGAGTTACAATTATAGCAAGGAAAAAAATTCTTTCCTGTGAATGCAGCTCTCTCACATTAATAAAACTGCAAATGTGGCATTAGTACAAAATGAATTGGGCATTTTTCACCTATGTAGCCATGATTGGGTTCACACAACATGAGAACCCACCATGGAGGCAAGCACAGTGGGTTGTCTTGCTTCCCACAGAGTGTTCAAGGGTAATAAGTCGCCTTGAAAGTCCGTGGGGTATTGTTATATCCCAAATGGGTTGTGCCATCCAAATCTGGGCAACCAACCCTATCATAGGTACTGGGAAGGGTCTGGCAAGCATCCCAGCAAAACACGTGGCCACCCTTCTCAAGCGCATGACCAGTGCCAGCCAACCAATGACCAAATGCTTCTTCGGGGTGATCAGCACTGACCGGGTGTCCCCCACCTCGGGTGTGAGCCCCTTTCACTCGCCACAGCTTTCTGTCCCCTTTACCATTTGTTTCCTTCCTTACAGCCACTGACAGTCCCAAAGTGTGCAAGCTGAGCACTGGATGGGATGTCAGTGGTCAGCAAACATTTTTTAAAATCTGTTTGTGCACTCAGTAGGCACAAATATTTTCATTGTGTTTGTTTAGTCACATTTGAGCACCTGAGTAGAGGCAGAAATTCAGGGAGGTGGCTTGCCAATCTCTTGGGGAGGGGTGCCCGCAGCAAGTACAAAATCTGGGCCTACACCCAAAGATACTGGGCTACAAAGAAACTTTTTTGTACATTGTTTTATCTTGATGCCTGTCAACAAGCAGCTGCCAACAGAAAGCAAAAGTGCAAGCAATATTTGCTTATGAAAGGGGCATGGATAAATTTCCACCCCCTAATGGTGACATCCTCTTCTATTTTTTTCCTGTTCCAACTGTCCTCAGGATAAAGCACATTTTGCACTTCTTCCTGAGACTCTGGATGCATCCTCCTTTCAGGTGAAATTCAGAAGGGGGCTATCCATCAGTCCTTTATTTGGTCATTGACCAGCCAATAAGTAAAACACAAAATTACAATTAGTAAAAATAAGAAAATGAACGAATAAAGAATTGATTGATTGAAAGGAGCTATCAGTTGCTCTCAAAATGGAAATTGTGAAAACTGACTATCAAGTCAGACTTAGCAAACTGAGAAATAAATAAATAAATAAATGTTAAAGGGGCAAAAAGCAGTAGAGAATGAACAAGGGCTTGCAAGACAGAGAGAAGGCAAGTCAGTTCCACCATAGAGTTCTCTGGGCCACCCACAGGAGGCTCAAGGACTCATTATGAACCCAGTTGCCAGGTGCATGTGGGTCGTTCAGACAACAGCCAATCCAGACGGCTCATTCACTCACTTTGCCACACCACTTCTGCCCCCAGCATTCCAGCACTTGTGTTGTAAAGCCTTCTTCACTGCAGGAGTACCGGAGGCACGGGTTCTGAGGATCCTCGAACATTTCACCAATCTAGAAAAGCAAAACAGTGGGAGGCATCCGTGTTTCTTAATCTCAATGCAAAACTGTACACTCCAGATGACAATTCAACATCCATTTAATTTGAAAGATGGTCTTAATAATGTAAGCACAACATCATGACCCTTGCACTTTCAGTAAGCAGTTTTTAACGTTCAGATCCATGCACTTTATTTTTGGTATTTTTATGGATCGGTTGCATTTCTTAGCCACCTTTCAAGAGCATAGACTTCCTAGGGTGGATTTTTATTAAAATGTCCATGTTGGATACAAAACATGATTTTGCTGAGCAACCAGAATTGAGGTTTACTGTTCAAGTTGTTGTGGACTATACTGTTCAAAGCATAATTGCTTTTACTGCTTCCCGAAAATGAGGCAGTCCAGTAAAACAGCTTCCCTGGGCCAACTCAGTGTGATGCTTAATAGATCTTTGCATTCAACACACATGCTTTAGAAATGCAAATAGCACCTACTAATTGTTAGGAGTGCAGGGGGTGCTGTGAGGTTTAACCATTTTCTCTGCTGCAGTCCAGGAGAAACCATTCCTTGAAAATTTTCTGTTTTAACTTGGAGAAGCTCAACAAAAATACATGCTAGGAAATTATTTATTGATGATGGGATAGATCCAAATTTAGTCCTACTTAGAGCAGAGCCACTGAAATCAATTGAGTCATGATTAACTTAAGTCCTGATTATTTCAGTGGATCTACTCTAAATATGACTAAATCTGGATCCAACCCAGAAAGTGTGATTTTAAAAAATTGAAACATGACAAGTTTTGGAGGGAAGGGGAGAACTGAAAAATAATGCAACTGTACACTTACTACTAGCCACCAGATTTTCTAGGACAGTCATTTTAAAACTTCCTAAATTCAGGGACACTCTTTTTCTATGTTGTTTTCCACCAAATGTTGCAGGTGATTCTAGCCAAGTATCAGATATATACTCAGTTAATACAGAAGTGGATTGGTCCAGTTATGGACCCAGAGAGTGAGAAGCCACACCACCTGCTCCAGTTGCTGAGCAGCAAAATGTATCAATTCAGGAGGAGTAGCAAGTGACCTTTCAAGAAAGCTTGTTTGCTGTTACTGGTCCTCTCACTGGGGAAACTCTGGGACTAGGACAGGGATGTCCAGGACACAGCTCTCCAGATGTGCTGGATTTCTACTCCCAATATGGCCCACATTCATCTGGAGCTCTACTTTCTGCCCACCCATGCACAAGAGGCATAACACATGAAACAACACCTTGTAGCAGGACTCACTTCAACAGCACAGCGATATGTATTTTTGCCACACCCATACATTTTTTCAGACATAGCATTAATGTTTAGTCAGATGATTCCCATCAATTTTACTGGGATCCTCCAGGCAGAAAATGAACCATGACATCAAGGAGAACCCATCTACATATCAGTCATCAACACTAAATGATGGTAATAAGAAGAAACATTTCCTTGCTGTGTTTATAAAGGTTAGTGTCACCAATGGAATGCTACACTCAAAAATTCTCCCTGTGAAACATTATACTGTATCTGGTAAAATTCTCCTGATATGTGCATTCTGCTTACCTTGTAATATTTATTTCTGAACCGACATGAGGTTGGTTCTGAAAGAAGAAAATATATCATTAAATTATAATAAGCAGAAGTAGATAATAGAAGCATGATTGCATATTTCCAGCAGCGCCAACGATGCTGATAAACTGGGGGCTCTTCAGTTCTAGAAAACAAGCCCACACCAGCTGGAGAAACAAGATTTCAGCTTACAAAGCAGTCCACACCCATACGCTCCTGCCCACTTCCATGCTTGAGATCAGAGCAAGACCCTCGCTCCATCTTCTGTCCCTTGTAGATGCTCAGTTATCATCTGACACTACCTTTCTGCGGTGGCATCAAAACTAGAATGCTCTGTAACATTCTTCATAGGCAGATTCATTTCTTAATTTCTCTTGCTCACCTTTGGAAGCCAATGAAACATTCATTTTCTTCCAAGAGTTGAACCATCTCATGCCAGTTTTTTAACATTTCTGCTTTAAAATATTTTTGCAAATGCTGATTTTGGGGGAGTGGGAGGCTCTATCACTTTGGGAACTTCTTTCAAAAGTAGTATCTAAATTATGCAAATAAATGTACATAGAGTTTAATTTAAAACTATATTAAATAAAATACTTTAAAACATAAAGTAAACAAGTGTACTTTATGTTGCTTGTTAAATAAAGGCAGGAAAACATACCTGGTACTGTAGGACACTCTGGATAAAGGAAGAAAATAAATCTCATGTGAGTTTTTACACATACCTTTACAGAGAAAAGTGAAGATAATGAATGAGGTTGGAGTTAATAATGGATAACAATGACCCTGTCATAATCTGTGCACTGCTGATTTGGTTAGATTGTTGCAATGTGTTCTACATGGGAGGGACTGCCTTTGAAAATTTCTTTGATGTTTCAGTTAATACAAGATGCAGCAGCTGGACTGCTAACTGGAACCCATTATATGCAACTGATCTTACCATTTCCCAAACAGCAACCATTTACTTCTCCCCCATGGGAATGAACATGAGCCATTGGAATGAATGGGAATAAACAAAGACACATATTGTTTATGTGGGGTGGGGAGGGATGTCTCCTGCTCTGACATCATCCCCCACAACTCAGAATGGACTTTGCCTTTTTACAGTTGTTCCTAAGGCTGATGCCGATTTACTTTGCCACATAGAGCCACGAAGAAGAGAGTTGAACCAGCAGCTGTACAGTGCCCCTCCATCTGTCTTGTCCTGCCCTGTATCTGTTGTTTTGGCACACTCCACAATGCTAGGATATGGGAGGAATGATAAAACAAAGAAGGAGCTACTTTAATACCCACCAAAGCCTCCTGAACTTCTGTTTCCTTCCCAATTCCAAGGCCTCTTCTTTGAGTACCTTTCCTCTTAGCCTTGAGGCCATTTTTACTAACCAACCCAGTCCTTCCTATGGCACGGACAATACCTGCAGGTCTTTCTCCAATAGTGGTGTTGGTAGTTGTAGAAAAGCCCTCTTGAACACCTTCTGTGAATTCAGTGACAGTTGTTCTAGTACTCTTCGTGCTAACTCCAGTACTGCCAGGCCAGGCTGTGCTGCTTCCTCTCTCAACAACACCGGTACTGTAGATGGCTTTAACAGGCCAACTCTGGCTTTCAGTAAGATTTTCTGTGCTTTCGGTGGCACCACTGATTGAAGTAATACCTACAATGGGCATCTCAGTGCTTCCAGTACTTCTCTTGGCATATCCAGTGATACTCTCCAATACTTCCATTGAGATTCCAGCGCTTCCAGTGTAGCGCTTGGTGGATCCAAATCCTTCCATACTAACAGTTTCCATTCTTTCCGTTGAGCTTCCAACGCCTACACGTTCAGTGACTCTGCTCGTGACACCAGTCCAGCTCCCGAAAACTGGAAGGGTCCTCGGGGGGATTTCAGTGAAGCGCTTGGTGGATCCAAGTCCTTCCATACTAACAGTCTCCATTCCTTCCGTTGAGCTTCCAACGCCTACACGTTCAGTGACTCTGCTTGTGACACCACTCCTGCTCCCAAAAGCTGGAGGGGTCCTCGGGGGGATTTCAGTGTAGCCTTTGGTGGATCCAAATCCTTCCATACTAACAGTCTCCATTCCTTCCGTTGAGCTTCCAGCGCCTACACGTTCAGTGACTCTGCTCGTGACACCAGTCCAGCTCCCAAAAGTTGGTGGGGTCCTAGGAGGGATTCCAGTGTAGCGCTTGGTGGATTCAAATCCTTCCATACTAACAGTCTCCATTCCTTCTGTTGAGCTTCCAACACCTACACGTTCAGTGACTCTGCTTGTGACACCAGTCCAGCTCCCGAAAACTGGAAAGGTCCTCGGGGGGATTTCAGTGAAGCGCTTGGTGGATCCAAGTCCTTCCATACTAACAGTCTCCATTCCTTCCGTTGAGCTTCCAACGCCTACACGTTCAGTGACTCTGCTCGTGACACCAGTCCAGCTCCCAAAAGCTGGAGGGGTCCTCGGGGGGATTTCAGTGTAGCCTTTGGTGGATCCAAATCCTTCCATAGTAACAGTCTCCATTCCTTCCGTTGAGCTTCCAGCCCCTACACGTTCAGTGACTCTGCTCGTGACACCAGTCCTGCTCCCGAAAACTGGAAGGGTCCTCGGGGGGATTTCAGTGAAGCGCTTGGTGGATCCAAATCCTTTCATACTAACAGTCTCCATTCCTTCCGTTGAGCTTCCAGCGCCTACACGTTCAGTGACACTGCTCGTGACACCAGTCCAGCTCCCAAAAGTTGGTGGGGTCCTAGGAGGGATTCCAGTGTAGCGCTTGGTGGATTCAAATCCTTCCATACTAACAGTCTCCATTCCTTCCGTTGAGCTTCCAACGCCTACACGTTCAGTGACTCTGCTCGTGACACCAGTCCTGCTCCCGAAAACTGGAAGGGTCCTCGGGGGGATTTCAGTGAAGCGCT